CGAGGGGCTTTAGCATGTATTTGTCACGGCAGCTGTGACAAATGCCCCTGGGTGTCCGGGGGTCGACCCCTCGGGATGGCCGCTGATACCCACATAACGCATCTTTTGGTCGAAAGTCGCTTTGTTATTTACGTAGCAAGTTATTCTTCCACGTTTAGGCTATAACAACGATGCGATCACACGGCGCTAAAGAAGGAACGATAGAACTTCAAAGAAAATAATGTGAGAGGCCAATGATCCGGTTCGCAGTGATCATGCGAACAGCATGTTTTCCTGAGATCAGTTACCGGAAAATACTGGTCAAATTTTCCACTTATCCCGACCCCCTCGAATAAGTAGTTTTGCTTGAAGACATAACTACAACGGAGTCTCTTAACCAGTCCCAAGCCGCGTGTCGCTCGATAGATCACAGGATATGATTGGCCACTCTATCACATTACGTCAGAGGACATATCTGCAATGAGAGGACATAAGTGCAACGGTACAGATAGTTTTAGACAGAGTATTTTAAAAGGCCAAAATTTGACAAATTTTACTATCTCGTGACGAAAGACGTCAACAACAACGTATCGAATATCATAATTTGATTAGCGCTCAGTCAATCTTTTAATGGTTTAATTAACAGTATCAATCGGTGAGATCTAAAATCTCTGTCCTACTATATTTTCAACTTAAAATGGTCAAAATCTAAGATTTATCGAGCGACTTATATAAAACGGTCGGAGTTTACTTAAGGAACTCATTTGCATAATCGGCTGTCACGCTAAATCGCTAAAAGTTTGAAGTCACCACGGCGAAGAAAATTAATAAGTGCAAGATGTTTTTATATTTTTATGCTGCAAAACACCTTATTAGAAGAAATCAAGCGAAGTTCATGATGGTCTGGTCTGGACTTGAGCAATATCAACCAAGAAAGAAAGATTACTTTTGACCAATTTCAGAAAGCTGTCTAACGAGTGTTTTTAAATAAATTATGACGAATCTCTGAATAAACGAATATCAAAATTGAAATGCTTTTTATACACCTTACATATCACACAGTTTAAGAATACAAAAGATCTTTTGCTGCATGCGGTGTGATACGAGGACCGGGCTTTTTAACTTTTGAAATTTTCGATGTCGCAAGAGGTCAAAAAAGGGCCTTTTGCAGCTTTGACTATTGAGAGCTCTAAAAATTTTATTTTAACGTATTTCTAGAAACTAATGTGGTTCTATTTACTTGCTATCAAAGATAGATTATTAGGCAAAGTTTGAGGGAAACTTTGTTCCGATGCGAAATGCCCTGGACCGCTCTTACAGAGATCGCCACTTAATATTGGGCTCTGTTTCACTAAATGAACCCCTGGCACAGACTGGAAGAGGATAATGCTGTCTAAAGTTGAGATGCATTAGCAAATGCTAACAAACCGACACACAATTTAATGATTTAACTCCGTCAATCATAGGAGAGATCATTTACTTCTTTCTCTAAACAATGTTAAAACGAAGGTGATAAGCGGTAAGAAAAAGCCATATCGGGGAAAGTCAATGTAATGCACAACTTCAAATTCTCCAGAAAATCAATCAGATAATGTAAGGGTGTCGCAATTTAGATTTGATGAGGTGAAGTAAGGGCGTTTTTCTGGTCAATTAGGAGAATATTTTAGCAGCAGTGCCTTAAGGATATCGGCTGATTTGGTCCATAATCGAACAACTGAGAAAGCAGAAAACCAGAACATGAAATCACGGATCAACTCTTTATGGCAAGTTATATAATTAAAGACCTCCTATCATAGTTACAAAGTCCAAAGGCAAAGCTTCCATTATTGCTCGTTTATTTATTTTTCCATACCGTTTTGAAACTCCTAACTAGCCTCAAATCAAAAGAAAACTTTGCAAAGACAATCAAACTTCAGATTATTTGATTTTAAGTACCCAAGAGAGGCAAGCTAATATAAATATTATAGTACATGCGTTTCACATTTCTTTACAGCCAGCTATATACAGAGGCATCGTTGGTATAAATTAATATCATTAACAAGAGACTTAAAAGAAACGGTGAATCAAAACTGCTCGCTTAGCTTCAATGAGTAAGCAGGAACATATTAAATTTACATGATTGATATGAAACACACTTTAAAGATAGAAATGCAAATCTACAGCCAGAGACGCAAAATCAAGTTCAGTTCAGTCATGAATTTGTTTGTACATTTAGAGACATGATATTCCATTCTTAGTAGATGATTACAAAAGCTCGACACAAGGAATGTTTTCTGTGAGACAGAGAACTGGTTGTTTTAAACCGCTGAGGATAACATTTTGTAAGCCAATGCAACACGTCTGTACGTTTTGATGAGGAAACGTCATATGTAACCATAGGTCATTTCGTCTTGCAGTCTGGCCACGACCTCGAGATCAAAGGCACTGGCCTGTCAGATGAGAGAACAAACAGAAATACCTTAGTTTATTTTTGGTTTAAATAGTGTTTTCCCACAAGTGATGCTTTACAGTTCAGCAGATGAGACATGGTGGACGACCAGATAAATTGCCATAGATACCTTTATCCTGCACAAGAATTTGTTTTTGGGAAGGATAAGACACGCCTATGTTTTATGTTTAAAGTGAAAAACATTTCATTTTGACTGGCGATGACAATAAAGAACGTTATCAAGCGGGGACATCTACTCAATAATAAAACAACTCGATACAGTGTAGCTTGGTCTTCGGTAAAATATTGGGCGCTTTTCTAATACAGGGAGTTAACCGTAAAACTTACTTTTCCAGACTACTCTTTCGTTAAACATTTCGTGTTTCCAGATACTGAGGGAAAACCACATGTATGTCTTTTCTTTTTTTGGTTAAAGCGAATTTGGATTGCTGCTCATCAACGTAACGGCGATTAAGGAGAACGGAAAACGTGAAAAAAAGCTAACAAAAAATTCAACAAGAAAACGAGCAAACTGCCTGAAGTTCGAGAAATGCCAACAAATGTTGGATTTGTCATAGCCTTCAATTGAGAGGTTGATGTGAGTTTTTTTTAAGATTAATCTCATAGCAAAGTAAAGAAAAAAACAACGCAATTAATCCCGTCGCTCAGTTGTAAATTGCTCTAAAACCATTTTCAATTCAGTGTCGAAAGTACTCTGGGATTGCTTCATTTTAGCTTTACTTTGCTTTATAATTGGTCCAGAAAATTCGCACCACTTTCTCAACCAATCAGATTCAAAATTAAAACCAATCACGACTCAGTCGCCCGCGTTTTCCCGCGCTTCAGGCAGTTTCGTTAGATTTACTGAGTTTTCATTGGCCCTTAATGGTACTTTCCTTTCTTCTGATTGGCTTAACGACACTTAATCGAAAAACGCTCCATCAGACTTACCCTGCTATACCATCTCTTTGCTTGCTCTCTATTTTTCTCCACTCCTAACCCATGATGCAAACAACGCGCAAAAACAAAACATCCCAAAGCGATTCCTTTAGCTACATAGCGAGGTAGACAATCTGTCTCAAGAGCAAGACCTTCGATGTCCTCCTGCTCTCCAACACTGCATGATGGGGGTTTGTAAGCACAAACAAAACGAACAAACAAATAAAAACAGAAAAAGTGAGCTAATGTTCACTTGAGGATAACACTCGACTACCCCACCTTTCAGAGCAATTCTGTTTTTCTTGGATTCACTCTTACCACTACAATAACAAAGTCATTTTAAGGTTTAAGGTCAACTTCTTTCCTTTGTGTCTAAAAAAGGAAAATATTTTACGGCTAACTTTTAAGGACTAACGGTTAAAATTTATCAATTTTTACCACTAATGACTAAATGTTCTGGCCTTCCTAAGGATAACGGTTCACCCCAATGACACCCTCATACAAAACTACAGTTGTTTATAGCAAGACTATCTTAACATAAAATAACAATGATGTGTATATGACACCTTTTTGCTACATCTGCAGCCTTGTTTAACAGTTTTCTCCTGTAATAATGAACAGCCAAGTTTCCTTGGGCGTAGACATTGCCTCTGGCTGCTGCCTCCTTGAGACACTTGAAGGCTGCTTCTCCGTCTCGCCGCGCACCAATACCATATTCATACATCACACCTAATGCACCTGATGGTATCAGAAAAGTGGTGTTAAATGACACACATGCACACAAAATACTCTGAATTCTTGTAATTTTGCAAAAACATGGAACATTTTAATTAAATATTGTACCTTGTGACTCCAAGCTCCCATTACCTGTGGCTTCCTGATGCCAAAAGTAAGCCTGAAGAAAAACATGATGAGAACAAATGAACATTATTTTATAGTTTACTCTGATGTGTTACAGATAAAAAAGTTTCAATAAAAAAAAGGTAGGGATAGATGTTATGATTAACCTAGGATTCCCCCTGGAGTAAATGACCTATTAAAAAATAAGACTATAAGCAGTGGCTATTGCCTCTTCCAGGGGCTCAGTTAGTAAAACAAAGCATGATAGTAAACCGTTCAAAAATTGTAGGAGGATGAAAAAAGAGTGATGTTTGGATCTGTTCATGTTCATCAAGTGACCAGTGCAAAAAACCTCCATCTTTCTTTTTCTCACTCTGCTTTATTTTACAGTTATTCACCACAGTGGAGGTAATATAAACCACTTTCACCAACAAGGTTAATACATTTTTTAGTGTATACCACACAGATACAAAAAAATCAATGTATTTCCCTCATATATCAAACAATAGACAGAAATTAAAATCTTGATGCCTGATCTTACCTCTTCAGCTTCTGTGAGGTGAATATCACTCCCTATTCACCTCCAAATTAACCAATCAGCATGTGCAAAAAAGGACTATAAACTAATATGGACTAATATTAAATATGTACCATTTAATATTGGGTCCTGTTGAACCCCTGGCACAGTCTGGAAGAGGACAATGCTGTCTAGTGTTGAGATGCATTAGCAAATACTAACAAACCTTCTGTAAGTCAAAAGAGTCTTCACCAGGTCTGGAGTAGAACAAACCCAATACTGTTTGAGCCTTTATGCTGCCTGTAGGTTCACCATCTCTTGCTGCTTCAAGAAACCATCTCTCTGCTTCCAGATCAGACTGTTTGATGCCAAACCCTTCATAATAAGCTCTGCCCACATTATACTGGGCAAAGGGTATGAGGTGAGCTGCCTCAGGACTGGTGGATTGTGCAATTTCTTTAAGGAAATTAAATCCTTTTTCCTGGTCAATGCATGGAAAAAAGTAAAATAGATTAAAAGGTTTCAAGAAATAACCCTTTCACTTCCAAGATCTGATTTTTTTATTCTCCTTTCTAGTTGCTACACATTTCCTTCTGAACCAGTTACGAGAATTTGGTGTTAGATCAATACAACTTCTACCCAATTAGCATGAGTATTCTGATTACCCGTTTGCTGGGTAGCATATAGATATTATGGGGAGAAGTCACATGCTAATAACTTCTTGAATTTGAATTGTTAAGGAGTGTTTACCCAAAAAAGTTATACTAGCCAAGGTTTTATTGGAATAAAAAGTTGATTTTTAACGTGTTTTGGAGTGCTTCTGTCTCTGCCTTAGCCTAAGTCAACCATGACAATGCCATCTTTGACTTTTAAAAAATATGCTTGTACCACTATTTCTAGTTAAACGTGATATAAAGTCATTCCTGAAACAAGAAGTTGCTCTTTGTTACTTGCGATTATAACATAGCGGGCGCGTATGTTCTACCTATTTCCTAATAGGCCACTATGGTGTGTATAACTATATACACACGGCTGTGAGCACATAACATGACGTGTGTAGTTGATAAACTTTAAACAAAGAACAACAAATCCCGGCGGTCAGACAATAACAAGTAAAAGAATGATCCTAGGTATATCTCAAATTAACTTCAGATAGTAAATTTGTATCGTATTATACACATCCTGAGCTTCATTCCAATCATGTAAACAATCATTACGCTGACCAAATATTACATCAACCTTCGTTTCGAAGCAATTCAATGCTTACCGGGTTGGGCTTTGTTCCAATGCCATCATAATACATTACTCCAAGTTGGTATTTTGCTTGAAAATCAGTGCTCTTGATTCTTTCAAAAGCAATTAAAGCTTTATCGAAGATTTCACGCTCAAAGTAAAACTGTCCAAGTTGAAATTTTGCAAGACTATCTCCGTCTTTGGCACGCTCGATCAAAATCTCTTCTAGAAGTTCATCTGACATTTCTTCTTCACCTCCTTCTTCCATTGCACCCATCGAGAATGGTCTTGTGTTTGGGAGCTTTTCAGCGCTTAGTTTTCGGTCGCTCAGGGGTCCAGCTGGACAAGAGAGAGGCCGTCTATCGACCTCTTCTTCCGCCATCTTGGACAATAACTGAGCAATCATCGTTGCTATAGTGACAATTTGTAAAATTTTTCTTTAAGGGAGGGGAGGGTTAGACTGGAGTTGATCTGCCAATAATGCAGCCTGGGATGATCCAGGTTCAATATGGCGGCGAATTTGAAGTCACAAGATGAAAGGGCAGCAAGACCTCTTTGCAACGATAGAAGCTGCGATCTCTGCAATACGCATTTGTCAAGGTTACCTAAGAGTTTAGGATATGGAATTATTGCCTTTACCTCGTTAGCTTGTTATCTGAACAGCTTGGATTACGATTTAGTACACGATGACATTTTTGCGATCAAAGAGAACATGGACATTCGCCCTGAAACTCCGCTGCTGAACATACTCTCTAACGACTTCTGGGGCAAGCCAATGTGGAGTAATACGAGCCATAAGTCGTACAGACCGCTTTGTGTCTTAACTTTTAGAATAAATTTCGCAATACATGGCTTAAAACCTTTTGGATACCATGCTGTCAATGTTGTTCTTCACGGATTGGTTTGTCTGTTGTATACTTATATGTGCGAAGTAGCGGCCTTCAAGTCCAGTGTGCTTGCATTTATCGCGGGAATGTTATTTGCTACACATCCTGTCCATACAGAAGCTGTAAGTTCAGGACTTGCCTCTCTTTCGTAACCTTCAAACTTCTAGGATCTGATTGTTGACTCTCTTCCCCCCCCCCCCCCCCCCCCCCTCCTTGTAAATTAGTCACGAGAATTTCGTGTTGGAACAAGATAACAACTTCTACCTGATTATTTTTAGCATTCTCATTATATGTTTGCTGGATAATGTAGGATATTACAGGGAGAAGTTACATGTTAATCATTTCAGGCAGTACAAGAGTCAAAGAGTGAATGTTCATGTGATCTTACCTTTGAGCAGTTTGCAACCTCAAAGCTTTTTGCCGAGGAATTTATTAGCTGTTATGTTTCATGAAAATGCCATGTTATACCTGAATGTTTTTTATGCTCATTATTGTTATGATAGGTCTGTATGACTGATTTTTGTGGGTAGTGTGAAATAACTGCACCATTGCAAAAAATTTCCATCCCCTCTCCTTCCTCCATAAGAAGCGTGATTAAGGGAGGTGAGGGGGCCATATTTATCGATGGAGTGGATTAGGTTGTTATTATTACTGCTTTACTTTCTCTTGTTGGATCACAGGATCCTCATGTTTGGTGGGGGGGGGGGGG